ATGGGACTTTTGGCGGGCTCAGCAGGGCAGAGACAGCCTGGACCATTCCTATTGGCTTTGGAAAGCCAATAGCATTAGACTCTATTCAAGAGAGTCTATTCTATTGGCTTTCAAAAGCCAATAGAATAAAAGGGAGCAGCACAGCTAAGGAAAAGGGGGGAAAAATGGCGGACTGCCTTGTTTGGCGACCCCCGTGAAATGGTCGTTCAACCCCAAATGGGGTCCCGACCCACAGGTTGAGAACCACTGGGCTAGATAGTCACTTGTCTGAGATAGTGTAGGTTCTCCTGCTTGAGTGGGGGGTTGGACTAGAAGACTTCCAAGGTTCTATTCTATTCTATTCTCTTCTGTTCTGTTCTGTTCTGTTCTATTCTAGTATGACTAAAGAGATGGCTGATCAGGCCTGAAGGCCTCCCTCCTGACTGGGAAAATTTTAAGAATCGGGGTTCAGAACATTGGGGGGACACCAGGATGGGCAGGGTTACCTTGGGTTCTAAGGAGAAAGCAAAAGTGAGCCAAAACATCTTCTGGAGGACAGTCCAAAACTGCAAGATGGAAGGCAGGAAACCCCCTGCTCCTTTTAAGTACAGGTAGTCCTCAACCTACGGCCACAATTGAGCCCCAGATTTCTGTTGTTAAGCGAGACAGTTGTTAAGTGAATTTTGCCCCACTTTACGACCTTTCTTCCCACCCTGGTGAAGGCAGATCACTGCAGATGTCAAGCTAATAACACGGCTGTTAAGCGAATCTGCCTTCCCCATTGACTCTGCTCGTCAGAAGGTCGCCAAAGGGGATCACGTGACCCCGGGACGCTGCAGCCGTCATAAGTGTGAGTCAGTTGTCAAGCATCCGAACGTAAACCACGTGGGGGGTGCCGCAACGGGTCATTGGTGTGGGGAAAAAAAGATCCCAAGTCCCTTTTCTTCGATGCCGTTGTAACGTCAGACTGAATGAACTGCTGTAAGCCTGTATTGTGATTATCTGCTATTTTTAAAGAGGAGCCTGGTCAGGAGAAGCAGCCTTAGGCTGAAACTTCCATTGTTATCAGTGTAGGAGAATATTTGTAGCTGGGGATTGAAAGGAGGGGTCCTTGGTGCTCTCTCAGCTTGGTGGTTTTCTTGCAGACCTTGCCTGACCCAAACTAGGTTGCATCATCCGCACGTAGCACTGTCTGCAAAAAAATGTCTGCAAGAAAACCACCAAGCTCGGAGAGCACCCAGGACCCCTCCCTTCCGTTGCACGGCGAAGGGTAACCACACAGCAACAATCTTCGGTCTCTATCTCCACCAAGTGGCAGTGTTGAGAAGGTCCCATCCATCATCTGCTCTCCTCCTGGGTTTCTTTCCCTGGAAAGCCCTCCGTCCTTTCTCCCCCTCCTGTTTAGAATCGGAATAGAGCTGGAAGGGACCTTGGAGGTCTTCTAGTCCAGCCCCCTGCTCAAGCAGGAGACCCTATACCATTTCAGGCAAGTGGCTGTTCGGTCTCTTCATAAAAACCTCCTGTGATGGAGCACCCATGATTTCTGAAGGCAAAACTGTTCCACTGGTTTATTATTCCACAGTTCTAGGCTGCTTCTCTCCTTGCTTAGTTTCCATCTATTGTTTCTTGACCTGCCTTCTGGTGCTTTGGAGAATAGGTTGACCCCCTTTTCTTTGGTGGCAGCCTCTCAAATATTTTCTCTTTTTCTAGATCAGTGGTTCTCAACCTGTGGGTCGGGACCCCATTTGGGGTCGAACGACCATTTCACGGGGGTCGCCAAACAAGGCAGTCCGCCATTTTTTTCCCCCTTTTCCTTAGCTGTGCTACTCCCTTTTATTCTATTGGCTTTTGAAAGCCAATAGAATAGACTCTCTTGAATAGAGTCTAATTCGATTGGCTTTCAAAAGCCAATAGGAATTGTCCAGGCTGTCTCTGCCCTGCTGAGCCCGCCAAAAGTCCCATTCTGCAAACGGTGCTGCACCAGTTGAGTAGTCCTCGACTTACGGCCGGTTGAGTAGTCCTCGACTTACGGCCGGTTGGGGGGTGGCGGCATTAAAAAGGTTGAGAACCACTGTTCTAGATGAACCGGAAGGGATTCTTAGCCTCTATTAGCCCTGGACTTTCCTGGTATCTCTCAGTGAAGTCAGTTGCCCATATAGTCTCTTCATCATCTGTGTTGAGAATAGCATCCCTGGCATTGTTCAGATTTGGGTTGCAGCAGGCTGGTCAAAACCTGGAAAGGGTTAGGGGTTGGTGAAAGGAATAGCCTTTCTAAGAGACAAAATCGATGCAAATGTGTGAATTCTTGCAGGCAGCCCCATGGGGGGTGGGGTGGGGAGAAGGATGCCTTCAAATGTCATGGCAACCAAGTCTCACCAGGGTTGGGTGAAAAGGATCAGCATCTTGCCCTTTTGCTGCTGAATTGAGAATAAGGGGACGGGTGAAAGAGGAAGAGAATTGGGACCCAGGGATTTTCTCTCCCCGGGACGTTCTGACCTGGAAAAACCTGAGTCTAGCACACTTCACACATCTCTTTGCTCACCTCTGGGGGGGGGGGGCAGACCTCTTGCTTGAAATGTGCTTGCCTTATCAAGGTGATGCCTCCTACGCATCGCCCTTAACTGGGAGTGCAAAAAAACCAGGGTATAGTAGGGGGAAATCGCGTTCCCCTTTTCTTTCATTTTTGTAGCATCTTTCTTACGGAAAAATCCACCCAGTCCCTGTTCCTGCAGAGCCATTGTCTTGTGTCAGAGTGAAACCTCAAAGGGTGGGAGGGAAGAGGGCCTCTGAGCATAATACAGACAAGCCCAGAATTGCACGTGAGGAATTGGAGACCATGGTGTGTATCAGGCAGAAACAACTCTCAGGATCTCTGGCCAACATTTGGGGTTATCCAGAATGTCAAAAAAGGCACGCAATTTCAGGCCTAAGACTAGTAAAGGAAATCACTCAATCTAGAACTGGAGAGAAATCATATTGACTATAGAGCAAAACCTTAATATAATAAAGCTTTATGGGAGAAGAGTGTCTGTTAAATCCACAAGAAAGCCTTCATTTAAAAGACAGATCCATAATGTAGTGAACCGAATTAGAAGCAAAAAAATGTCCACTAAATCCAAAGTCTGCTAAATCAACTTCTGTTACATGGAGCACATTTAGTATTTACTTTTGATTTTGTTTAAATGGTAAATCAAATGGGATCCAATTTAGTGTTTTGCCCCGATGCATTTGGCTGCACCTTTTCACAGCACAACGGCTGCAGTTCATGCGTTCCTTTGTATGCAAATGTTTATTTAATGCATGTGAGTCTGAACAGAGCTTGTGTCTTTGCATGCATGCTTTCTACGCCATCTTTTCTCACTTCTACACTTTGCTTGGAATAATAATTCACAGAGAGGGTTACACTTTGTGTAGAGGGTTACTCTACGTGCCTGTTCCCTTGGCACAAAGTAGCTCACTTTTTTTTATTATTTTGGGAAGACAAGCCGGTGCTTTCTGTTATGTGCAATTTGTGTGATAAGAGTTGAGAAGATTTGGTTGTTTGAGAGAGGATGGACCTGACATCAGACATGGTAAGAGTCTTGGCTTTCCAGAAACCCAGCCCCACTTTTAGTAATACACACTCAGGCCAAAGGCAGAAAGATAAGCCAAGCCTTCAGGGTTTTCTGTTCAGGTCTTTGAGGTCCTCTGCAAAGCCTCCTTCTTCTCCACATCATGTGGTGGAAAAGCTCGAGTAGCCAAGCAGGAATGCACAATTCCCCAGCCAGGCAAGATTGTTACCTCAATCTGACTCTCAGGGGTGGGAAAAGAAAGGCCAGAGGATCTGCTAACTGGAAAAGGCAGAGGAAAAAGGCTGGGGACTGATGACCAAGAAGGTCATCTTTCGTGGTCCCACCAGATGTTCACCCTAATAGATGGGACTCACCTGTCTTCCCACCTTATTGGGTCAGGTGGATGTACAGTAGTAGAAGAGACGCTGTCCTTTAAATAGCCTGGCCTCCAAGCCATGTAGGGCTTTAAAGGTGATAACCAACGCCTTGAATTGGATCCATCAGCAGACAGGCAGTCTGGGCAGCCCCTGCACAAGAGGTAACATCTGTACCAGGATTAATCTGGGTTACAAACATGGCCTCCTACCTCTTTGTTCAGTCTTGTTGGTGCCTCTCTTGATCTGGGTGCCTGTCAGTTCTTAATATCCATCATGCAAACAAGACAAGCTCACGAACCACATGAGAACTGATCCTCCTGAGGAATTAATGCTTATGAACAGGAAACCTTCTTGGGGATTGACTAAATATTTAGCAGGTAGATCCAGGCAGAATCTTATGTTGGTATTTGCAAGAGGACACAGAGAGGGAATTTGTTCCAAGGGTTGGACACTGTTGGGAAACACCCAGCCTGGCAGGGAGGAGGGAATCAAGTGCAGAGCTAGCCTGGAGTCACTGCGCAACCACAAAAGAGCCAGGACCCACCCCGCTCTCCCAAGTTCCTTGGAGCCTTGCCTATTGGCTCCCAAGAGTAGGCAGCCAGACTGGGGAGATTCCTGTATTAAAGGCAGAACATAATAAAGTAGTTAGCTCAGACTCTGCATGTGTGGGTCCGTAGTTTTCACCTAACAGATATTATGAGTTTCTGGAAGGTCTCACGAGGTGATGCACCTTCTTGTGGAGCCCAGTGTTGGGTGCTGGCTAAAATGGGGAAGAAATGTGATTTGATATAAGGTGATTATATGCAGTGCTGATGGAGTGCCTTGGTTGAGAATTACCAGCATTTCCACAACAGGCTGTGTGGGAAGACAAGGTTTTTCTGACCACAAAGCTGGGTATGAAGAGCCCAAATTAGGGCTTCCATAGGTAGGCACTTCCTGTCCCCTTCCCTGGCTTTCCCTCCCCTTTTCCTTCTCCTCATCTCCCCCCGATTTTTTGAAATTATTATTATTATTTTCAAGTCTGAAAGCATGTGTTTGCCATTCTTCACAGACTGATGCTTGTTCCCCCTTCCATCTGTCTTTTCCTACCCAGAATTCCCCTACACCCCGTCTCCACCGGGCACATCCGTGGCACATCCGACCGTCCCCACTGCCGTGATTGGGGGCGTGGTGGGCGGAGCCTCGTTGGTCGTAGTGGTGGCCGTGGTCGTCCTTATGGTGCTCCGCCACCGGCGCCACACTTTCAAGGGCGATTACAGCACCAAGAAGCACGTCTACGGCAACGGGTACAGCAAGGCGGGCATCCCCCAGCATCATCCACCCATGGCCCAGAACCTCCAGTATCCTGACGATTCAGATGACGAGAAAAAGCCCGGCCCGCTGGGCAGCAACAGCTACGAGGACGAAGATGACGATGGCGCCGGGGCTGAGCGGAAACACCGGTCCTGTCCCAACAAGTATGAGGAGGACTCCAAGCGGCCTTACTTCACAGTGGACGAGGGCGAAGCCCACTCTGAAGCCTACAACGAACGGACACTTGGATTCCAGTATGACCCCGAGCAACTGGACATAGCCGATAATATGGTCTCTCAGAATGACGGGTCTTTTATTTCCAAAAAAGAGTGGTATGTGTAGCTTGGTCCACCTTCTCCCCTTTCTTGCCCTCTCTTCACCGGCCATGCCCCAGAGCTGTTGGCCGCTCCGCAGAGCCCGTATGCCTTGTCACACACCCAGAGCCCCCTGCCCATCCCAACACACGCACACCCAGAGACATCCATCAGCTGGGGAGTGGGACACAGTACAGGGACACTTTGGAAGCCAACGAGAACTTCCATTACTTTGGGGGCACCCCAGAAGAGGCAAAGCAGGGGAGTTGGGGGCGGGAGGGATGTTGCTTGGCTTATGAATTTAGTTTTCTTTGGGAGAGGAGAGCAATGTTTCTTCTCCCCTGCTTAATTTCTCCGACAGAGATTGGTCCCTTACAGTGTCGTTTGTACTGATCAGTGGTGGCTTTGATGTTAATACTTTAATTATTATTGCCTGTCTTTGTATAGTATACCGATCCCACCCCATCTACACCTCCGGTGTCTCTTGGTCAGCCTGTAGGCTTCTCACCCTCTCCCACCCCTTTCAGAAACACTGGAGTTTGTTTATGGTCTTAACTTTGGGGAGGAAAGAGGGCCAAAGGCACACACACACACCCCCGCGGACTTTGGAAGGCAAGGTGGGGCTGGGGGCTGCCGAAACCGAAAGCACAAACGCGCAGAATCGGGGCCAAGAGCTTTGCTCCTTTCCGAATCTCCTGGATCTCTGTGCCTGTATCTTCCTTTCAGCCTCTTTGGTGGCCATTTCCCACAATGCACTTGTGGAAAGAGAAGGATCACCTGCCTTTATCCATGGCCACCAAAACAAAAACAAAAAAAGACTCAGCTTCATCTTCAGAAGAACATTTGGGGAAAGAACGAAGCAAACAAGAGTGCATGATATCCAGGAAGGAGAAGTATAATAAGTGTGGGTCTTTTTTGTTGTTGTTGTTTTGTTCTTAATTATGATTTTAAGAGAGAGGTTCAGGGTCTATCAACATTTGCATGCCACGTTATCTCTTTTTTTCTCTCCTCCCCCCCATTTGCTCCTGGACCCAACATCTTTGTTGATGAGGATCCTTTTAGAGTCACTTAACCAAGTCCATTCATACCTGTTTGTCATTCCTGGAAATGTCAGTTAGTGAACAGGCAAACCAGAAGAAGCTTGTTCTGCTTCGTCAAGTCTCAGTGTTTAACATTAGAAGTCTACAAGGTTACTGGCGAAGCTTTACAGGCTGAACACCAGCTTTGTATGCATACAGGAGGCTCCAAGTCCAGTCACTGACTTCCAATTAAATAGCCTGAAGGGGGAAGCAAATAGAGATGTGTGTGAAACTAGAAAAATGTGTTTTTGTTTGGGGCTGGAATCCAAACTACTCTGTTGGAACACTTTTGAGTTGGCCTGTATGTTTTTTGGAACAAAACTGGAAATGGCTTGAACGTTCCAACACAACTAAACTTGGGGGGGGGGGAGTGTTCTCTTTGTTGGGGCAAAACGTGAACTATTTTATGTGGTTGACCATCAGAAAGAGGGGGACCCCCAGCTGCTCCTTTGGTTTTCATTCCAGGACCACAAAAATAAGTGGGTGTGTGGCCCATGCAGAATGCTATCTACTACCCTGGTCGTAGAAAAATTAGCTATGGGCATGAATTTTTAAAACTTCTTTGAAGGTATTGAAATAAATCCCAAAGGGGGGGGGGATGGAAATAAAGCTTAGCTTTCACCAAATGGAACAACTTTTGGAATTAGCATCTCTTATCAACAGTGGCCCTCCCTTCCCCAACACACACACACACACACACACACAGAGGGAGAGAGAGAGAGAGAGAGAGAGAGAGAGAGAGAGAGAGAGAGAGAAATAATGCATAGGGTGTCTTCACCACCTTTAGATAAAACTTTTGAGTTGCTCAGCCAACAGACTACAGGAGAAATAGAGCGACTCAAACCCTTAACTTTCCTTTCAATTAATACATCCTCTCTACAAGGCTTTCTTAATGTTTTGAAATGTTAAAACATTTAATGCTGATGGATTTTTTTTAAAAAAAGAAATAATTACAGTGTCCATTTTTTTTAATGTTGTGGCACTGTTTTGTTTTGATTTTTTTCAGTCTGCCAGTCATGTGCAACTCTTCACAAAACATCATCTGTCCTGATGCTTCTGCTTGCATGCAGGAACAGCTGCTGTGGTAAAAGAGAAGAGCAGGGAGATCCATTGTGCTTCATAATTGCATGAATAGCGCAAGAACGCATGACAGAGTGCATCAATTCACCAAAACTCAGCAGTTCCACTGAGCCAACATTAAAACACTAGTACAGTAGTGTTTGTGGGGTCCTTGGTGCTCTTTGAACTTGCTTGTTTTCTTGCAGACGTTTCATTATCCAACTTTTATCATCAGTGCTAGAAGGGAATGGGGAGAGCAATTCCCCACCACCTCCACCACAGCAGTGATGATGTTAGCTAGTTCAGTACTCAAACGTCTCCAACAAAACAATCAAGCTTAAGAGAGCACCAAGGACTCCACAGCTCACTCCTGAGCTGCAAATATTCTCTTTTATGCTAGTTTACAAATTTGTGATTCAGCAGCATTGGCAGGCTTTATGTCAAGCAAACCAGTGTACCTGCACACAGCTACACACAGACGCTTGTATTACCTGCCTGCAGTCTTTATAGAAGCCACCCATTCTTCCATCTGGATGATGCCAACTTTCCCATAGCGAGACTTATTTAAATGAAAATGCACGATCTTGCCAGATTGGCTGCCATTTCTGCATCCTCTTCTCTGTTGAATTCCTTCTTTCCTTTCAACCCTTTGTCAACCATCCAGTCTAAAGTCTTATCCACAGGAACATGACTGGTTCCATATGCAGGGCTGTCTGAGTCCCAATCAGTCTATAGCATGAAATAAAATGCCTGCAATGAAGAAATAATAGTAATAATAATAACAATAATAACAATGGAGGAATCTGGATCAAAGCTTTGATCTGCTCAGGATCCAATGTGATAAAAACGTGAGTGGCTACCCTAGGCTCAATCTGCATTTCTGAGTCTCCTCTTTTTGATGCACAGTATATCAAAACTATAGGCTGTAGCCTGGCAGAAGCCTCTGCTAATTGAGTAAAAACATAAAATTCCTACTTGCTCTGAAAGAGTTTCCCGCCTTCAGGTCCAGATCTCTTAAATCTCCACATGTTGCCAGCATCTGGTTCTCCTCATTTCTTCAGATTCAGCTGGAGAAGAGATTCATTAGCTTCCCCTGAGCGCAGCTAATCGTATTCCCTTGAAGATTTGGTCCGGTAACATATTTAAGGTATTTTCTGAGACTTCTGATCAGTGTGCTAGGACCCAAGTTTTCAAAACTCGAGGGATGAGTTGATTGGAAAACCAGCTGCAGGTGGATAGTTACTGTTCCTATAGCTTCAGATGGCTAGCTGTTTTTAGAACCTGGGAATTATAGGCTAGAATTTTAGAAGGCGAATCAGGCCTGAGGTAACCCCTTGAGGTTGCCATTCACAATCCTAATTTTTCCTCTCTGAAAACTATAGGGCACAAGCAGCCAGGTCACTTGTGAATAGTCTCAAACATAAACTTTATTGTTAGTCACTTATATTACAAGAATAACAGAATAATAGAGTTGGAAGGGACCTTGGAGGTCTCCCTGATCAAGCAGGAAACCCCATAACGTTTCAGACAAACAGTTGTCCAGTCCCCCTTCTTAAAAACCTCCAGTGTTGGAGCAAGTTGAAGGCAAGTTGTTCCACTGATTAATTGTTCTCACTGTCAGGACCTTCCTCCTGGTTTCTAGGTTGCTTCTCTCCTGGAGGAGTTGCCATCCTTTGCTTCTTGTTCTGCCTTCAGGTGCTTTGGAGAATGGTTGACCCCCCCCCCTTCTTTGTGGCAGCGCCTTAGATATTGGAACCCTGAATCTCACCAGACTGACCACCTTCCCTTGGAAACGGCCAGATAAGGCTTAAAGAATTCTGGAGGAGGTCAGTCTTGTGCCCCTTTTCCCACTGCAAGGATTCCAAGTTCAGTCCCCTCTTCACACTTCCTTTCAGTCTAGCTGGAGAGGCCACCACAAGACTATTTGGACCTTGTCAGAAATAGTTTAATTCCATTCTCTTTGGACCAACAGTCAGTTCTCTTTCCATCAGCAAGAAGAATCACTTAGACTCCCAAAAGGATCACTTAGGTGAGATGATCAGGGTAGAAATATGATGAATGAATGAATATGAATTATCCTCATTCTGATGGGCTTCCTTCCCTTCCTGCTAACAAGATGGTTCAAATGTCCTTGCTGATCAGTCTCTCTAGGTACCTACCCAGCTCTTCAATTTTAAGGCTTCTTGACCTTGGACTTCCTTGTCCACCTTCGGTAGCTACGTCTAGTCCCCGGGACCCTACATGCAGATGTTTTTAGATATCAAAAGGGGCCGTGTTTTCTGTGGTCAGGGTGCATGATAATTTCAGCCTTAATCTTTGTACACAACAAGGATTTGATTGATGAAACCGATGCATGCTTGGAAAAAAATCTGACAAAACTGATGACCGAGACGAGGCAAGAAATAGGCGTATCCAGACCAGGACTAAATGTTGCCTTTGCTATTTTGTTTTTAGACCATTCTCGGTATGTAGCTGTAAGAGAGGTGGGGCTGTAAAAGAGCAGGTTTTCATGAAAAAGTTGCTGCTAAGATTGTAAGAAAATGCCAACTGGTTTGGTTCATAGGCCTATCAGATGCGGCACGTTGCTTCCACCGGTGGATGTGGCCCAAAAGCTACACATTGGTTCACTGAAGGCCGCCATCTTCCCTCTGGGTTGTCATCAGTAGGAGAGGCTTGAGGTCTCAGGATGTACAATTTCTTACTATGGAGGTTCTATTTAAGTATAAAAGTTCTTAGCCATCTCTAGACCAATACTCCATATTTATTGAACGATGCAAGACTCTCTTCTCACTGAGGAAGGTGGATAGTGCTATCCCAACCTTGGAATGGATTTAAATGCAATCTCAGATTTTCTTGCTGGATTTTAATCCAGACCCATCGTTGCTAAGGTTTCCAAATGGTTCTAAAGGCTCCGTATTGCAGAGCACATTTGGCAGATGTTTGGAAGAAGAGTTTCTATCTGGGCTTTACCCATCTCAGCAATTTGATTTCCGTTATTGTATTTCACTAAGAGACCAGCTGCCTTCTCTGTCTTCTTTCAGCACCGTTTCATTGCTTATTCCAGTAGTTTAAAAAAAAAAAAAAAACCAAGCGAGAAAGTTCGTTGGAGTTCTCCTTAAGGAGAAAATGAAACCCGCCGTAAAAGTTGAGATTGGCTTCAAATCAAGAGCCTTGTTGGAAGGGAGCTCAGCTCTGGGGGGTTTTTCTATTCATCCTTTAGGCAGAACAGATTCAGATCGCTAATGGATCTGAATCAGCAGGATTCGGAATCCGAATTTTGTCAGAAGGATACTATTTGGGGAGTATTTTATGCACAGGAAGAAAAAGACAGTGTAAATTTGTCTGGAAAATAGACCAAGGTTTGATCCTCATTCTGGATTGATGAACCAAAAATACAAGGTTGCAATGCAAGCAAAGCATCCGATAAAGGTAGTCCTTGACTTACAACTGTTCGTTTAGTGACCGTTCAAAGTTACACCCAGACTTTTAAAAGTGACTTATGACTGTTTTTCACACTTAACGACCGTTGCAGCACCCCCATGGTCCCCCAAGATCAAAATTCAGGCGCTTGGCAGCTGACTCATATTTACAACAGTTGAAGTGTCCCCCGGGGGTGATGTGATCTTTTTTTTTGTGATCTTCCGACCAGCAAACTCCAGATTCACTTAACAACCGTGTTACTAACTGAACAGCTGCAGAGATTTGCTTAACGGTGATCAGGAAGGTCGTAAAAGGGGGCAACTTAACAACATGTCTCACTTAGCCACAAAAATGCTGGGCTCAGTTCATTTAGCAACTGTTGGAAGTCAACAATGGCACTGGAAAAAAAATATGATCGGTCCTCGAACTTATGACCGTCACGGCATCCCCATGGTCACGTGATCAAAATTCAGACACTTGGCCAACCAGCATGTATTTATAACAGTTGCAGGATCCCAGGGTCACTTGATCACCATTTATGACCTTCACAGCAGGCTGGCTTCTGACAAGCCAAGTCAATGGGGGAAGTCAGAGTCACATTTGCTTTATTCCCTTAACAGTTGAAGGGGTTCATTTAAACAAGTGCCTTGCTTAGCAATGGAAATTCCCAGTTGTAGGTCATAAGTCAAGGACTATCTGTGTGATCTTCTGTTGCAAGCAAGTGTGTATATAAGCGCTTTTCTAAGATACGAGATATTCACGCAGTCCAAATAATTGCCAACAGATCGACCAACTGCATTGTTGTTCTGATTTCTTTTCTACATTCCAATGTGTTCCCTTTCACTCAAATGAGTCTCTCTCTACCATTGTTCCTCAACCTGGGCAACTTTAAGACGTGTGGACTTCAACTCCCAGAATTCTCCAGGCCAGCGCATGCACTGGCCTGCAGAATTCTGGGAATTGAAGTCCACCCGTCTTAAAGTTGCCCAGGTTGAGAAAGAACGCTCTATATAATTTTAACTTTCTTGTTCCCGTTCATCACATTCCTGCTCTAATCAGCCTTGTGGCATAAGAGAAATAAAAATGTCCGTTGGGAGGGATGTGTTTTTCTGTGTTGTAAGTGCTTTTTTTGTAAAAAAAAAAAAACAAAAACAAAAAAATGTGGAGAAGAAGACAAATATTATAGATAGTGTAATAAACTGAACTTGCTTTCATTCTCGGTTTTATTTTTTAATTTTTCCCAATGCTTTGTAATAATTTCTTTGT